ATATATATATATATATATATATATATATATATATATATATGTCACCGGTTTGCGGGTAAGCATGGTGCCAACGCCACAACAATAATATCAATCACAGAGTATGTGGGATTGGGATACAGCAATTAGCTCTGGAGAGCGCACAACATCTGATAAGAAATGTTCCCTTATTCCAAAAAGGAGATCATTATCAGTGACTGAAATTACGCACCTGTTTGAACTCGTATCCGCACTTGATATGTGGTGACACCTTTGTTGTACCACCAGCAGCAAGGAATAAATAATTCCGTGATAACCCAAATAACATTTTTCCCGTGATAACATTCATCCATGAGGAGGAAAACAACACGAGACTCCTTTAAGGAAATCCTTGTCATACGAGAACGAGGCAAACCGAGGGCTGATTTCGCTTCACCTCCACCCTGCTTCTAATAATTTTGATAATTTTCAGGAGAAAAACTACATTTTATTGCTATGGATTCCATTACTTTTCCATTTGTTTACATGTCAGTTAAAAGTGAGTTCGTTATAGAGATTTTCATGTCCTTTGAATTCATTCAAAGAAATAAGTGGCTCATACCTCATTCAATGTTACTAAAAAGCGCCTGCATTATGCTTAACCGTAAAGACCTATTACTCGAATGTCTAATTTTCATACCGTCGTCCTGCAAGTTCCTAATCGCGGACGGAAAAGTATATACATTCCTCTCCAACCAAACCCGAAGTTAAGTGCTAAACCAAGCAGATTTCTAGTTAGCATAGATACTCGAAGGGGTTTCAGCCAAAACTCGGCTTTGCTTTGAATCAACTGCTTCATTTATGGTATCAACATAGCAGCATCAGAAACTGACTAGCGGATAAAATAAACCCTCTGATAGAATTTTTCGATGATAACGTACTTCAGGCTTTAAAATAATATCTGGAAGCTAGTTAAGAATTCATTTAAGTGTGATGGAAATGTTTTGGCAACCGATAAAGATCACTGGACAGCTGTTTCGTCCTGGTTGGGACTTGTTAGCAATGCGTTCGCGGTTTGAGTCCTGACAGGGACAAAATAGTACGCACTGCTGTTGTCACAAACATTTCCATCACATTTAAATCCATCCAACGCTCTCAAGGAGTGAAACCCACACCCAAGATCATCAACAGTGTTTGGTTCCTGTGATAAACCGAATGAGCTAATTCAAACATTCACCGTCTAATTACAAATGCTTTCCACATCCATTCCAAAGGTTCACTTAATGTGTTCCTTGGTCTTTAATTCTTCGCATTCAGATATACCCACTGGTCACATTGAAAACGCATTGGTAACTAGTTATGTCAAACGGCAACGTAACAGCATGCTCTAAATTGTTCCTGTTCACAGCTCATGTATGTATGCACTGTAGTTAACACAGGTAAGTCAAAAATCAAGGTACAATAATCACAGCTTATGTATTCATTTTGGGATATATTTCAAGAGTAAAGCAAAATCCATTCGTTCCCCACAGATAAAACTAGCATCATCGAATGCAGGCATACCTGTAACATTCGATCAAAAAGTCGCCGTCCACATCCCTGTCGTTGTCTGCTCTCATGAACATAGAAGTCGAGCACGCATACAGGTTCCGTTTCAACGCATATTCCATTGTTATCATGGATAAAAAGTCGTTTCCGGCCGCATTTTAGCATGCCAAGAACGCTAAATAATACAATCAGACGCATAAGCAAAAGAGTCTGTCTGGTACCAATTTTCCGAGATATCAGCCAACACAAACAGTCTGTGGTTGGAATTTCGAAATTTGCGGAAGGTCGTGACAATCTGTGGTAATCGCTGAGCCTGAAACAGTCTGATCAGTCTGGTAGGAATTGGACACTTACCATAGCTGAGTTCTCACCCATTTTGTCAATCACTTGCGCAATCCCGGTACAACAGTTTGAAGCTCTTCCACTCCGGAATATTGGCATATCTGGGCTCAGGCATGTCATGTCATTTTGAAAAATTGTTTTTATATCAAAATTGAATTCCATTTTCTTTTATTTTGATGAATTATCCACCTGGTGAATGTGAACATATCATCTATACTCGTTTTGGATGCCCCCGATTCAATGTACATGAAAAATTCACTACATGCTAAATCCCAATGAGCTTGGGATGAGAATATATTCCAATGTATTATTTCGTAAACTATAGGTGTGGTCATGCAAAACAATTACTGATGTTTAATATTTCCCCTCTTTGATGAGACCATGTTTATTAGTTCACTACGGCGATCAGTCGCAATACATAGAATCTGTTACGTTAAACAGAACAAAAAAGCTAAAGGCCGAACTCCACCTGAACTGGAAAACTGAACTCATTATACAGCTCTGTTCAAGCCATGATAGGTCTCGCATTTAAATTCAAACTTCATCGGGAAATCAATCCATCAGGCCATTTCAATGTGAAAAGCCTTGAAAACACAGTATGTCTGTTTTATTCTCGTTGGCAATCATCATTAGCACATCTCCCAAGATTATGATGGCCATAAACTGGATGTACAGTTGAGTGTACTATGGAAATCTGATATTCAAGCCATATCATATCGAATAGATCATTTTCATAGATGGTTTGAAATTTAGCCCATTAAATCACAACCATCGCCCACTAACAGTAACGTACGTTATTTGGACCTCCTTGGTATTAGACCTGGCACCTCACGGACAACTCATTATTCTAATGACAATCAAGTGAGAAATCAGGTTAATTGATTTTATTGATGGCAAAATGAAACCTGTAGCTCCGAACCTTTCGTGAGTGATTACATTCTCTTCCTAGCCCCAAAATTCAGTGTAAGTACTGTGTTGAACATTATTTCAATCTGAATGCGGAGATCAGTCAGACCGGTTGCTGATAATCACCGGGGGGTTAAGTTTTGGACTCAAAATTCAGTACTAGGATATGTGAAAACAGCGATGGCGATATTCAAAAAATGAACCGCCGTACAGGTTTCTAAGCTGTTAGATATTTCTGCTGGATATATTATTGCTGTCGCGTGAATCACTACCAAGCCTGTTGTGTTTCGGCCTTATGGGGTTCGTCATTCCAAGCCTCCGGATCATGGTCGCCTGGGCTGCTCCATTCTGATTCACGGCGGTAAACAGCTACGTACACTCTCAATCGCTGTACACTCTCGCAAGGCAACCACAAACTCAACATTCTCATCAGTATTCAGAAGGTGAACCAAAAATTGATTTTTCACACTACTTTCTCCCGTCTTCATGACCCTTCAATTTATTTTTAACAGAACCCCGCGTGTGGACTGGGACTTGTCTTTCGCTCGTTACATTTTAGATCATGTCAATCTGAAAGCGATCCGGATGATCGACGACCGCCCACTGACTTCCACTCCGGCATCAGTAACCCATTTGCTTCACCGTTCCTTTTTTACCTGGCATTAATTTTGCTTTTGTTCTCAGGGGCTTATCTTGGCAGTTCATTTTCCCTTAACATCCCCCCGTCCCGTTTAATGTACAGGCGGTAGTCATTCTTATGAGCTTTCTAGATCTCTTGCAGATGCCGTAGTTCTATAATTCAAGCATCTTGTTTTCCCGAACCTCCAAACTATGGAACAATCTAGACCGATTTGTCTTCTCATCAATTTAAAACCTTTCACTGTTTGAAAAATAGACCAATAAATCGGATCCCTCCCCTCTCCCATACACAGAATTACCCTTTAACAGTGTCTTTTTACTTTGGAGGTACCCCGGAAACTGTACTTTACTTTGTGCAACAACAGGTGAACACCGATGAAAGAAGCTGTTTAAATCTGCCATATCGTGGTTGAAAGCATTTCCCGAGGAATAAATCCGTTCTGAAACATTTTCAATCTTTCTATTGAGCATTTGTTGTTTCCCTCCTAATTTTTTAATGAATGCAAAATCGGTAACATGAAGAAGTAACTGACTAGTTGTAAATCAGATGGAACACGTCATGAGTTCCTGAGAAAGACAAAAGAAGCATATGTTGAAATTTTTGATAGTATGCCACAGCAGAATAATACTTTTTCCGTAGGAAATCAAAAATAGGATCAGTTACTTTTTGTAGCCTGACACACTTCTAGAGCGCTCCTCCTCGAAGAATAAAAAACCCAATATGACTTCACTATAAACAAAGCTTTTGTCGAAGGTGTGCAATGTGATTCAAGTATCTAGAATTAGGTGAAAGTACAATTAACACAACGGCAACCTGGTCCTCATTTGGCCTAATGCTCGCGGATAAGGGTCTCCCACAGTCCACATGTGAAAATGTAGCACAAAGACTGACATTTCTGAAAAACCTGAATGAAACTTACGGTACGTTGGTTGACGCCTGGTTGCATAATTCATTATTTAAAAAATACGAAGAGTTAGGTTTTTTGCAACAGTATGATGAATTAGGCTTCGGATGATGTGCAGCAGTACAGTAAATAATCAAATCCTACGGTGAATTGATTTGAAGAATCCCTTCCGATGCCGTATTCACTCAAACTCCTGGAAAATTTAGAAATACATCGACATGTTTATTCCTATATATCACGTTTGTTCTCATTATTGCTACATTTGTGTTTAGTTGGTGTCCTTATTGAAGCGACTTGAAATTCGATAACGTTCAAATTTAAAACCTGTGTATTTTATCATAAATGTCGATTATTTGACCATTACCAGGGTTGTGACAAACATTTTTCCGGTTGTAGAAAAATCTGCATCATCATCATCATCATCATCATCGATGAAAATTAGGTTCAGTGAGCATTGGGTGTGCTAAGGCTTTTAATTTATTTTCAATAAAAACAAATGAGCTTATCTGATAAAGACAGGAATAGGATTTGAAAGAGCTAATTGAGGTAGACAATTTTGGTAGAGTCATTAGCAGGAGTCAACTCAGAAATGAATAACAGGATACCAGAAGAAGACTAGCGATACTGTCCTTAACTGAATATAATTTGACAGGAAATGGAGAGTATGGTACTGAGGGAAAGTGAACTGCTAACCATTTGCTTAAATATGCCAACGTAATCAACATAAAGAATGGAAGTGAAAAAGGCGATTATTACTGATATTTTAAAATGTTACTTTGCCTGATGAATAAAGTAACTTTAAAGGTGAATTAAGAAAGAGAAAATATTCATTAGAGTTAAATTTGAAGCAATCAGTCTGCAGCAACCGGTTCATTTCGGAGCTGGTGCTTGAACGTACGTTTTGCATGTGAAAGTTTAAAGATATCTTGTTTACACGTGAGTACCGGTTTTGTAAAAGTATATGTCGCAACAATATTTCAACTTAATATTTGTAAACGGTGCTTGCAAAATGTGATCAACATTTTGCGCAACTAGTGTACTATATGATTATTATTGTGCATTCAGTAGAAGTTTTATGAATTTATTCCGTGGAGGATTGGGACCAAAATACTCTACGACCGCTTCGTGGTATTTTGTGCACTTTCAGGGTTAGGAAATCTCGTTGCCGTTTGATCCAGTAGGACACATAGCCTAAACGTTTAAAAAAGTAGGAACCTCTCAACAAAAAACAACGATTTTTGACCCAAAACCACTATTTTTAATGGAGGTTTTCGTAAATTGCTTTTATAAAATTCCAAAAGTATCACTTATAAATAATACATCTAATACATAATCCTATTATGTTGGTGTTTTATGGAGTTTTTAACAAACACTTTCATCTTTTAAAAATAACATTTGTTGTTGAGTGAAAAACGTCACTGAAAATAGAATTGCTGCGCCTACGGAACGACATATATTGCCACCGAGAGGGAGGGCATTGACATGATAACAGTACGACACTGCGTTGCTTGAGCCCTGGTAGCGGAAATCTTACAAGGAAAAAGGTTGTCATAAGTAAACAGCCCTCAAGGGTTTGTGATTTTGAAGCCACAGGCTGATATCACATCTTCCATCCGATCAGTAAAACGGAGAAAAAATACAGCCGCTTTTTTCTGATGATAGCATATAGAAATTTCTGTACACTCTGTGTGAGACTTTAAAAACGATTTTACTTTACATATACTCGTTCTCAAATATTTGGCCTAACTCATTCACTATCAATAATAAGGAGACTTCCATGAGAGATGTTAAGACCAAACGGGAAATGAACCGAAGGAAAGTGCCAGATACATATTGTGTAGTAGGAATCAAGCAGCCTGGTGGTATCGAAGGGTTCAACAATGTGAGAAATCTCAAGGCACCCAACTACAGCAAAAGTCGTTCCCCGTGAGGCCAATTATAATGAAACTTTAGAGGAAACTAACCAGATACACTTGGGTCGCTTGGTGTAGCTTATTGATAAGGGTAGATAAAAGGGTCAAAGAAGTCTGTGTGAGCATAGCACCGTGTACTTATCGTGAGCTTTAATTGGGGTATTTACGGAAGCGAACAAATTCACTAGTATAGATGATTTCAAATCACTGCATATAGGTTGCAGATCTGACATGCGTCCAGCGGTCAACAAAAGAAAGCTACCTCAAATGGCTCCTTAAGAAAGTCCTTTGGAAACACATCAGAGAAGGTTTCAGTTTCAGTCTCTACCAACCATGCACTTTCGTGCACCGGTTTTGGTTGCAGCCTTTTGGCCGCCCATCTGGATAAAAAAGACGAATAAACATTGGAATGTTGAGACAGAATTCAAAGTGAAGATAGAGAATTCATATAGACTGGGGCTGCCACAATAGAGTAAATGCACGAGCGCCACCGTTTGCGACACCCGATCATTTCATTCAGTGTCTCTTACCACCATTTACCATTATCTTGGGATCCACATCCAGGAAGCCTAACGGGATCTATGGGACCTAGCCTCTTGGTTGGAGTTCTCATACCCTCATACCCACACACCGTAGCAACCTGTCTGGGGACATGCGCAGCTTATGTCCCAAACAGCGCAATCTATGGAGATTAACCAATTCCTCCAGTGGACGACCGCGATTACCTAAAACTCTAAGCCTAACCTCAGCAGTTCTT